AGGACCACATTTTATGTGCAAATTATATATTCATTGCTCACGTTTTTCTTGATTTTATTGAAAAACCTACAAAATGTATTTCTTATAACAATACAAATACGTAAATTAATTTATTAAATAAACGTCATATTTTAAAATGTTTTATTATTAAATGTATAATATTATAATAATACTATATTCACGAATACATACAATTTTAATAAACTCAATGGATTCCAGATAAATACTGAAAAAAAAAATTACTCACTAATCGAAAATGATTCCCACGGAACATCAATTTCCTATACAATTATTATTACTCAGATCTTTGTGTACAAAAGTACAGGTCAGTGAAATTTTTATTTAGCAATAAAATGTGAAAGTCTCAACAATAAATGAGCCTTCATGAAAATATTACTGTTTATCTAACAAAAGAATTGAAGCTATAAAGACTGCATTAAAGAACTTGGATAGTGCGATTACCGTGTGTGTACTTTTGAAGAAATAGATAGTATCTTGTCGTTGTCATTTGTTTTAGCGACTGTTTACCGATAGACGATACAAACGACAACGATAATACTGTACGTAAAGTTCTTTTATTAGCCTGTAGTTATTTTCTATTTCTTTTTTTGTAACAAATTAAAGAAAGTACCTGATGGTCCCTAGTTTACCTGATAGTCGATGGCCTGATGGACGGTTCAACTAGCCATAGTTGGTGCCAACCAAGGAAGTAGATCTGCGCTTTACGGCGCTGTTTGCGTTTTAGGAGAACCACTAGAACTTCAAGAAAAATTTCGATCTATATGAAAATTTGTCAAAGCAGTGATTTTTTTAAAATATATTTGCCTCAGCTATGTAAACATTGCTCCTTATCATGACAAAGTTTGGTTACCATACAAATTTTGGACCAAAATTTGTACAAAGGATACAAAAGAATAAAATTAAATGTCATACTCAATACTCAATACTCAATACTCAATACTTTATTGCTACCATAATGTAAATTTTACAGTTGGTAAAAACTTAAGCTAGGTATCAATTATGGACCCTGTCGGGCACAGCATAGAAGAGAGAGAGAGAGAGGGGAATGATTATTACTAAATTTATTTATAATATTTTTTTTATATATATTTAATCTGTATAGTCATTTTTTATTTTTATTTAAATATTTAATAATTATTTATTGCACTAAGTTTGTATTATTTGTTATAAAGGTTATTAGTATTATTGTGATTTATTTTGTTAATTGTTGCAATTGGTTTTGGTCAGGCTTGACTAAAACCAATTGCAACAATTAAATGCTTAAATTAAATTAAACTAATGTTTTATAATGTTGTTAAATGCATTGTCACGAATTGTTTATTTCATCCATATATTCTTTTACACTGTAATAGCTTTTTCGCAAGAGGAATAGTTTTAACTTATTAATGAAAATGTTATTTTTTTCTTCGTTCTTAATCTTTTCTGGTAGTTTATTATAAATTTTTATAGACATAACTAAGGGGCTTTTAGAATGCATAGTTAGTTGGGAAGTTGGGAGGTTAAGTCTATTTTTATGTCTTAGTGTGAATTTGATTTTTTTGTCTTCTCTTTTACTATAGTATTCCGGGTGTTTTTAATTTTTAATTTACTCATTTCCAGAATATAAATACATGGAAGAGTTAGGATTTTGAGGTTCTGGAAATGGGGTTTGCAGGACTCTGTTTCTTTTATATTAGTCAGAATTCTGATTAATTTTTTTTGTAGGGTAAAGGTAGTATGTGCCTCTGAACTATTTCCCCAAAGGATTATGCCATAGCTGAAGCAAGAATAAGCGTATGCGTAGTATGTGACAAGAGCAGTAGAAAGGTCTGTCGTCTTCTTAATTTCGCATAAAGCGTATGAAAATGTTGCTATTTTTGATCGATTTTTTTTTATGTGAGCTTTCCAGGTAATATGAGTATCTATAATTATGCCCAACAAGTTAAATTCCTTAACGACTTGCAGCTGAAGCCCTTCAAAGTTAAAATTTATATTTAATGGTTTCTTTTGGTATGGATGGAAAGGTATTATTTTGGTTTTAGAGAAATTTATTTCTAAGTTGTGTTCTGTCATCCAATCTGTTGTTTTAGTGAGTATTGAGTTTATGTTGTCATTAAGATTTGCATTGGCGTTAGAAGAAACTAATATGGAGATATCGTCTGCGAACATGACACATGGTTCCTTTATGTACTTTGGTAGGTCGTTGATGTAGATAAGGAATAGCAAGCACCCTATCACACTGCCCTGAGGAATTGAGGCGTTTATGTCTATTGAACTTGAATGAATTCTTTCTATTTCTTTTTTATTTTGGTTAAAGTATTCTAACTCTACCAGCTATTGTCGATCGGTTAAGTATGAGGTGAGCCAGTCATGAGCTTTTCCACGTATACCTATATTGTATAATTTATTTAATAAAATTTTGAACTGCACCTTGTCATAGGCCTTGGTCATGTCAAGTAAAATACCTATAGCATATTGTTTTTTGTTTATGGTATTGAGGGCTTCTTGGATATATCTATAGACAGCCAATGTTGTTGACTTATTTTTAAGAAAGCCGTTTTGGCAATCGTCAAGTATATTATATTTTTCACAGAAAGAATATATTCTATTGGTCATGGTCTTTTCAAAAATCTTTGAAGCAGTAGGTAAAATGGCTATTGGGCGATAGTTATTAGGGTCTGTTTTTGCTTTCTTTTTATGGATAGGTTTTATTATTGCTTGCTTCAACCGGTACAAATCACTCTCGTAAGACCGCACGGCCGCGTATAAGCTTACTAAGTGAACTCGGCCTGAGTTTCCATGTAACGACTGTGATTACTCTGACTTGCTGCATTCTTTACAATAGATGTTTCTACCCCTAACATATTAGCTAATATCATCTGTTTGACTGAGATATTGTTGTGGAACAGGCGAGATGACCATCCCAGTCGGACGTGGCCCAACGGTCGCTGTTGAGAATGGATTAAACACGAGAACTTTAATTGCGCAATTCAGGATTAACAGTTGATCCGTAGTTCGGTGTATTTTCGTCAGATGGTACTAAGGTATGTTTTTGTCTTGTGGTTTACAAGGTCGCCACGCCGCTTCCTACTACGCTGAGTGTTGTGGGTTCGATCCCCACATAGGACGAGACTTTGTGTGATCCACAAATTGTTCTTCTTTGTGTCCGTTTCGTGAATGTTTATAGAGTCCCCCGCGTCACAGGATATATACCTAGAGCGGGAGTTGTCTTTTTTCTATATAAAAAGTTTCTAGAATTTTACTTTTAAAAATAATATTTAGTTAATAATAGCTTAGACTTTGCATTCACAATATTGCCTTCTACAAGTATACCGTCGACGGCTATCGTCGTGTGAACATCATTTATATACGTTTGTCCTGCCTAGTTACCGATGGGAAACACCTTTATATGGAGATTGGTAAGAAAATTGTACGTTGTTGCCCACTACAGCGGATATTTTGCAATAATTAAAACTATAGGAAAATTGTTGGGTAAGAAGAAAAACTGCGGGAATATACTTAGTTAGGGAGTATTTTGTTCACACATTGTTTTGGAGTGCGGAATAAATCAGGCGTATGCGGCTATAGTGCTCATGCGAATTTAGGCCTTTACTAAATTGGTTGGAGAAGACAATTAGGACAAGGTAACGCAATTTTATATCAAGAAAAGCTTTGTATATCTACAACCAATATTCTGTCAACAAAATTACTTTTTTCATGTATTTTCTATTTGGTTTTATTTTATCGTTGGTACTATTCATACGTTAAGACATTAAAACTAATTTATATTTATTTTATATCAATTTTATTAATAATGCACCATAGTATCCTATCTCAGTCCTTTCTCGTTTTATCCCTCCCAACTGCACGTATACGGCATATTCAATAGAAAACTACTTACCAATTATTATCGGTATTCCATAAAGATACCTCTTCTGGAAAAAGAAATGAAGAAACGTATGACATCACAAAAATGTACTAATTACGGTTACAACATTGCTCATAGGATATCTGGTCTCATTCCTCTGTAATAGTCCAAGTTAACAAGTCTGATGACGTAAGCAAGCCAGTAATACCTACTTATGTAATAAATATATTCGTTAGCATCGGGTCTAAGTTCAAATATTTGTAGGTATTTGCTAATATATGCGGTTCTTTAGATCTGTGGACTGTTGCGTCATCAATGATGGCTACTGTGGACTATAAGAAAGTATTTAGTGATTAATTGGTTGTTTATGGTCAGGTTGTGTCATGTTTTTGGCTTGATTTAATAAAAAAAATATTGTTGGTCTATTTTTCTTAGATACTTAGTTATTTATTGGTCATAAGAAGCGGTATTTGATAGTTTAATGAATATGTAGATTTTGTTTTTAGTTTTTTAATTGAATAAACACGATAACCTTTGGAAGTATCAGTCATTACTTTTTTTTCTACAGATTGCTCAATTTTTCATCACCCTACGGCCTTTTAGGAGTGAAGCAGTAACTTTCACGCTGTAGAACTGCGGAATTAATGTGTTAATGGAGTGTGAGAACAAAAGAGCAAAAGTCAATATTATTATTAATATTAAAAAATAAATACAACTTTATGAGAATACCAAACACAAAATCAAAACAAAGTATTTTTGATTCTATTTGATAGCAAATTTTAGACTGAAGGAGATGTGAGTCATTGATACAAAAGAACAAATACATCTGCCACGATAGAACTGTACTGTACAACAAGTGCGGATCTTATGGAGACCTAATACATTTTATAATGGTTGGTATTAAAGGCAGAAGCTACAGCCGAACTTCTTAAAGCAATGTCGCGTGCGTTCTGAAATGTCTACCAGCTCAATGTGTATAAATAATTGGTTATTCAATCTCCTGGCACACATATGAAAGAATAACAGCGTCCCACATACAAAGGTAAATAGGCTCTTATTAAAAAATAACCTAGAAACTCATCACATTTTTTTTTGTTGCAGGTGAAGGGAGCAATATCAATGGCCTGACAGGATGTATAGAACGGCGTCAGTCGAGGGCTCCGGGCCGAGGACGCCGCCGGCCTATGCCCCACATCCGCCTTACGTCCCACCCCGTTTCTTTCCTCCTCGGATTCGTCCACCGCCGCCCCAGTACTGTTTCGACGCCGCCAGGTTCGCCTGCGATGCTTCCAAACCTCGCTACTTAGATGTAGAAAGAGAAAGGCTAGTCACAAGGTGGTTAGCTGAAGCTAATGAAGCCTTAGTAAGAAGGGACCGACCTCCAAGGTATAAGCCGAGGAGTAGTGAAAGACGACCAGATTATCTGGAACGGAGACCTAATGCTCCAGAATGGGCGGACAATTTTTTGCTAGGGAGAAGAAACGGTTCCGTTGAACCGGAAGACGATGGTAGTGAAGTGATGACATTAAAAGAATTCGTGGATAAGTTTTCTTTACCGCGAGTGGTCAAGTTAGAGGGGGAGGATAGGCCAGTGCTTCTGTACAGGGTACTGGAGGCGCACAGGAGAGTGGAGGCGGTGCCGTTGTCTGGCAAGAAGGGCAAACTGGTCGGAAAGCCGCTGTATATTCCGGATTCTTACGATGGTGAGTCAAATTATTGTCTTTTTTGTATTCTTATTATTATAAATGTTATATTGGAGGAGATAATTTTCTTTGTTATTTTAATTGTTCAATTAGTTAAGAACAATATCTTTTAGAATGTAGAACACAGTAGGAGTTATTTTGTAAAACTGTTTTTTTATTTAACCTGAATTTAATCTCAAAATAAATAAACTATAGAGTAAATTATATACAATCTAAAATTTGCTACAAATTTTACATGTGTGTCCACTTATCTTTACCCAAAGAAGAGTAGGCAATATATAGAATTGCCTTGATACGTAAAACCTTAAAAACTAAAGTTAGCTCATTAGCTACCGAGTTACCTAACGCCAGACAATCATGCTCTCCTAGTACTTTACTATCAGTGATTACGTCACAAAACTTCGATCACTTAAATCATAAACTATTATTCCATTGTTCTTGTTGCGTGCATGCATTAATTAACCAAAGCTTTAGGATAAAGTCGCCTTACAAATGAAACGACTTTAATAAATCAAGTAATCAGGTTGCATTTGTAATCATTACTTACGATTACAGCTTGCCTCAGAAAAGTGGATTCATATTTTAGTATCACAATACATTATGATACTAGTATATTACATCACTTTTACGAGAGAATTTGAGTAAAATGTTTTATGCTTAAATAATTTATATGTCTAACCAAAGAATTGAAACATAGGGGCCAACTTTATTTTATTGATGTTTTGTGACCCGGCACTTTGTGGCTAACATTTGGACCCTTTTGCCGACGATTTCAGCCTATCTATATATCTTGGTTTAGTAGTTTTGTACTATCGCTACATCTAGACATAAATATCATCATAAAGGTTTATTTAGGGTCTAAAAATGTGTGTGTAATTTAAACGAGTAAAACATTCGGGAAGTCCGAATGTTTTACTTGTTTAAATTGACGTTTAAATTGGCGACAGTCTGGTTATCGACTTTGACCTATTCAAGTAATAGGGGATAGGCCTATACTCCCAAATTGCTATATCCCTTTTCTACCATTACCTTCTTTCTCATTTTGTCTATCATATTGAACTCCCAATGTTCCCTTCTCTTTCCTAAAGTTCCTCGATGACAGTAATAGTACTCTAGTTACTCTCCATATTACGTGAGTGAGTTTTAAAATTAAAGTCGGCAAAATGCGGGATTTTAGTACACAGCCTGTTGGTCGAGTGGTTAGTTACTTTGACTGCTAAGTCGGAGGTTGTGGGTTCGATTCTCTCCGAGGGCAAATAACTGTGTGAAGAGGACGATCAGTTGTTCTGTGTCTGGGTAATTTATCTATAGCCAGCTGACCCGCACAATTTCGTTTCTGTCTCCTAAAAGGAATTTATTTACCCCGTTTTTGAATCATTTTTGACTCCCATTGGTCGTTCCATTGATGTTATATAGCCTTGCCCAATAAATGAGCTATAAAACACTAAAGTATTTTTTTAATTCGAAACAGTAGTTCCTGAGATTAGTGCCTTCAGCCAAACAAACACACAAACTCTTTCGCTTTATTAGTATAGATTCATGAAATTTATTTCTCGGCATCTTTTTCTAAGTTTAGTCACAAAATAAATTTCTGAACGCACATTTTTACTGTTTATTTCGTTTTTGTTTTGTATATTTTCTCACCGTTTCCCTGGAATTTCACAAATATTTCAAGATTAAAATTAGCCAAATCGGTCAACATATTGCCGAATTTTAGTAAAACTAACGAACAACAATTCGTTTTTAGGTATATAAGACATGTATGTATTAGAAATATTTTAGTATGTTATTTACAGCACAGGCTCTGCCTAGTTACGGATCAGACTGCCATGTGTGAGATGTGTAATTTTTTTTATTAATTATAATATAGGCATCGATGTATATAAATCTAAATTTAGACATATCAAATGTTAATGACACAACGTGAGCAATTATAATATTAGATATTAGAATTGTCCTTGAGTATTAAACAACTTAAAAAACGCCGCCAAACAATATATAATACCAGGCAAAAAAAACAAAACCGAAGTTCTTGAAAAGGTACTTTTTTATTACTTTAATTTGATTGAAATCGTATCATCGATTTATGAGGAAATGTTATTAATATTTAGATCAAAATGTACATTCAAATATAAATGTATGTACGCATAAGGTCATATTAATTATATTGTTCGATTGATTGATTTCATTTTATTACTGTGTTGTATTATATCTATGCATATTTAATTTCGTGAATTGTTAAGTCATTTAAAGTTATTTGATTCGTTTAAAATAAGTAGCATATCGTAATCAATATTGCGATAGCTGCGTAGATATTTAATAATTATTTATTGCTACATCATTTTTTTTTAATGTGACACCAAACCTACACTTTGATCTGGCCGATTTCGTTTTGATATTCTTATGAGAACATTTGGCTAAGACACTGGATCAGTTTTTTTTTAATTTAATGGGATTTAAGATATTTTACAGTCAAAATTCCTTTACATATATTTTCACCTATCCAACCCGTCGTGTTTGGCCGGCACGGGAGCAACGTCCCATTAGAGTACCGTACAGGGCAGGTCGCGCCCAAGACATGTGCATACTCGGCCTATCTGATCTATCGTTATTACTTATCTGTGAACCTACGACTTTTGTTTGATAGAATGTTGGCTGCAAATTCAAAATGACAGCTAAGGTTTTGAACGGAACAAGTGTTTGTTTTTTTAAACGTCGAATTAAAGAAATTGAATATTAGGAAGTGACGGTAATTCGAATTTAATTTTTTTTTCCATTAATTAGGTAAAGTGGCAGGTTTCTTTTTGACATAATACATTTTGAATGACATTGACAGAGGTGGCAGCTTAGACGTATAAACAATCTTATTTTAATTTAATGAATGACAGCGACGAACCGTAAAAGTTAAAATATTTACATTTCCTAAAACTGTTGAATCGTTTAGTTAAAATATTTCTACTTAATAAAATACAAAGTTCTTGGAGAATGTGCATAAACTTTATCTTAACAGTAAGACTTTTAAAATGTTCGGTATTCTCGCATGTAGGATCAAATGGATTTAATTGCTTGTGTTTGGGCCTATTCACAGTCAGGCCTTGGGCCTTCCATGTGGGAGACTAGGCCTATTAATCCTAGACCTTATTTAGAAACATATCGACAAGGTTATGGCCTTACGATGCTCTTTGAATGCCCCGGCACAAACCAGTGGGCTTGACATGATGTATAATTGAGTAGGTGTATTTGTTCTGCAGTATTAATGATTGAAGTCTATTAATTGGTTACATTTTAAATTGATGAGTGTATAATTAGAAATAATAAATCTATATAATGTGTATTTTATGAAAATAATCAGAGTTACTGCAGTAGATATCTAAGATTTTAAATGGAATTGATAATTTTATGAACACAACGTATTCAAAAACTGACATATTTTTGTTTCAACTGAAAAGCAGAAAGTGTTATAGTTGTAAGATGTCAATGAACTCCATTTTACGCGATTATTATATGGTTTATGTTATTCCTTCTATGAGATAAAGGGTTATTATTTGTTAATACTAAAGTTTGGAAAGGGCAATAATGAATTATACCCATATATAGGACAAATAATTGTGCTCATCAAATGATTATTTTTTTCTGGGTGGAAATTGAGCCTATGTGGGACTATTGGGACTAAAATACTTGACAAAAACAAAAGACGAGCATGTATGTTTGTATGTATGTATAAATAGAACCCATAACCTCTGGCTAAACAGGCCAATCGAAGATAAAAGCTTAAGGCAAAGATTTGAACGCGTAAAGGTTATACAATGTCTTGGAAACATCTATTCTGTTCTTTGCCCAATCTTTGGTAATTGGTATCAATGTTTTATGATGATCGGATGAGCAACAGAAAATAGGGACAAATCAACATTGATTTTATATATTTGATTGATTTATATAACATTTGTGTGATTCCTCAATAGTTTGGTTATAAGAAGGCACTGTTTGTGCGCATATGACTCAGACTAGTCCCGCCAGGGTTCCATAACCTATCTTTGATTCCTATCTTCCTATTCTTAGTGAAATAGCTCTCAGAACTTCATCAAGATAACTAATCAAATAGGATACCCATACTTAAGATAATATCTGTATAACTTTACTCAGTATTACCTCTCGGTAATACCGGACTTACAATTTTAACAGCACTTGGAAAGTGAACCTGCGACCCCGACAGCGACGGCGCTGTCGTCGGCCAACCGTTAGGTACATTGTACTTGTCGTGTCTTGTATTTCGATGTTTTAAGTATTTGATGTTGGAACTATTGTGTTTATACAAGGTGTATTAGATTTCATTTTATTGCATGTTTCCCTTAATACCGTTGTGACCGTGAACATTATTGCCGGGTAAGGTGACTGTATGTTTGTGATCTTGACTGATACAAACTAGGGGAAAAGCTAATTTCTACTTTAATTGAAACTAGCTTTTTTTATCCTTAGAATACAGATCCTTTTTCGGAATCTAAAAAAAGGTGTATCTTATGCTCTTTTCTGTACCTTTGGGGCAGTGAATGAGTAAAATTATAAATCTGTTGAGTAGCAAAGCTTAACAAAAAGCAAACTTACATTAGCATTTATACTCGTAATACCAGCTTTTGTTCGTGGCTTCGTTTACGTTAATGACAATTCCTTTAGTGAATTTTTTTCAATCAAGATCCGTTTATCTGGAAGTAATTGTGTAACAAACATGCATTCAAACTTCCTCATTTACCAAATACAGGATCTTGTGTTATGACTGTAGAACGGGGTACCTATATCCTCTTGACATAAGCTTGATAATGCGTCAGTAAAATCTCGCTATATTCAGTAATCCTATACTATCAGTGTACTGTGTTTTTATTTACCACTAAAAAGTAGAATTGAAGGAATTGGTGGAATTGAAGCTTTGCGCTTGCCTCCTATTAAAACAGGAATACGTATTGTCTCATTTCTTTCAAAAACTTCTAATTTCATGATGGTGTTTCAGGAAAGCAAGAATATGATGTGTCCGATCCCTTACAATAAGTTTAAATGTGTGATTGATTCCCTTACTCATTGAAGTAGCCTTCTAGTAGAAGTAGTTACTCCTTTAAACATTGTATTGTATCCTTTTGTTAATCGTACAATCAATAATACCTAGCGTAAATAATTCTAAGCATGCATTTTGTGCGGGTGTACGACAATTGTTTGCTTAACAATCGTAATGCATGCGAAATCGTATTTACAATATACATAGGTGTTGCAGATAAAGAGTTTGCTTGATTTTTCATAAAACGCCTAAAATAACAGCTCAAATCCGCACATGTTGACTTAAATTTGTTGCTTTAAGATACGTATATCTCAAACATCTTTAGTAAAGTTTTAAAGACATTTTTTTTTTACCGTCCGCATAAAATCATACACACTTTCAAACCTTTTTTGTAGAGTAAAATGAAATGCAAGCTCCAATGTTACCATGTAAGAAAATGTATGACATCTTTTCCAAGGTCTGCGACAGACGCGCGCATGGCACGACTGACGTAGGCTGCCTATTTTTGTGTTTCTCTAATTTCGTCCTTGCCTGTCCAAATGTCTACCAAAGTGTTTGTCTAAGTCTGACTTATAATGCCGGTCAGCCGCATAAATACACGGAATTGAATCTTTAGGCCAGAACTAGGTGTTCATTAAATGACCAAATTCCCATTTTAACTGTGACATAAACACAAACGATTTTAAATTAGCGTATGACATATTGTACCATTGTGTTAACGTAAGACTTTATATGAATCAGTCGCCAATTCTTTGTCTGCAAAAAAGACAAAAAAATGCATGCTCTCTGAGACACTTGCCACTGCATACTAAGTTGCGGTATCTGATTAATATTCTTGTGGAGAACCTTCCATGTGATAAGGAGATGATATTTTTTTTCTGTTTTAAGAACACATTCCAATGATGTGGAATTCTGTAAAATCATGATATCTACCCAATAACTAATAAATTATTCTATTTAATATGTATCATGAATGCATGAACATGATTGAAAATACCACTTTACGTTTCCGAAATAATAGAAAACTAACTTTTAGAAAATATCAAACAACTCCACTTAGTGATTTGATATCAGTTATTGACGTTTGGAGTATAATAGTAGTGGTATAGTCCAGCAATTCTTCCGGTGGTTATCACCGATTCAATAAGTTTAGCGGAGGTCCCTCCCTCTGAGGAGAGGAGGGTACTGAAAGGGCGCCTAAGCACTTCTGTTTCTTAAGTGTCTATGGGCCGCGGAAGTCATAAAACATAAGGTCCTATCTCCTCGTTTGTCCCCTAAATCATAAAAAATCCTAAAGTAGATATTAAACAAATATGTATCGTAATGTTATGTTTACTTTTAAAATTCCTGTTAACCTCAATTATTAGCTATTAATAATTATTTTGATTGATATTGGTCAACAGTGCGTGGGCGCGTCAAAACATAAATGTTTTTAACTTTGAAAAGTCAAGGTCAATCTTAAATTGGTTTTATAGAAAAAATATTTACTAAACATAATAATTTGTTTGTCATTAAGCATTTACTCTACGAGTACAAACACGTTGGTCTAGCTGCAGGCGACACATAGATTACGGCCTGATCACTTGACAGGGGATTAATCCGTCAACCTACGCTTATTCTAGCTTTCAATTTTGCTTTTTATATCAACAAAAAAATTAGTGTTGGCCAACAAACGAGCAGACGGTTGACCAGAAGGTAAGTAAATATCACCGTCCATTTTGTTTCACATCAATTCCCTCTCGACGGCGAGCGCGTTCGGCGCTATGATTGGCCCGCACTGAAATCTCAAGTTTAAGCTTCGGTAATTTCACTCACTCGGTGAAAAGCAGTGAAAGAATTGGTTTCTCTGTGGCCGTGGTGACACTCCGCCCATTTGTACCCTGGCTCTCCAGCGAAAAGAGCTAGCTTTATTTCTTATCTTAGCTACTTATAGAATTTTCAGAAAATCGTCAGCAAGAAAGAATTATCCTTATTAATAGCTTAAACTGCCGAACCGATTTAGATCAAAATCTTGTATTATATATATATATTGATAGTTTGATTGTTGAAGAAGGACATAGGCTACTTTTTACCGCGATAACAGACATGATACTACTGGTAGTTATATTACTCTGTCTTCCTGAGGATTTTCGAGAATTCCTAGTCGTCTTCATCTCAGTTGGAAGACTGTTGTAAACCTCAATAGAAGCATAAAAGAAAGACGAATCAAAATAATACTTTAATGATAATATTACTATTTAATCTTAAAGGTGCAAATGAGCAAACGGGTTACTTGAGCCTTGTGTCTCTTGAGTTACAGGTGTCAATGGGCGTTGGTAGTCACTTACCATCAGATAACCCGTCTGGTCGATTGCACCTGTTTAAAAAATAGAATACCAGACACATTACTTGCCTTAAACCGCGGTATGCTTAACAGTTGAGACGTTTCAACAGTCGGAAAACTGTGATACAAAATGTAATCGAAAACATTACTGAAACTTACCAAGAAAATATTAATGTGGTATTTATTATGCACATGTGTATAAATAAGTGTCTGTTTACTACTTTGCAACATTAATGGTATTAAAGACTGTTTATTATGTATCATTACGTCACCATTACATACAAATACTGCAGTTTTTTTATAGGACTGAAATTTTTGACTTAGCTCGCGGCTAAGAACCACCATTTGTGGTGACGGTAGATCAAAGTTCACTGAGTAATCAGTGGTAGAAAAATCTTTTGTTATCTAGCACGTCCCTAATGTTACGTGAGAGACTTGCTAATGTCAAATGTTCAGTTTTCTTAGAAAGTTAGGGTTGTCACCAACACGAGGCTGGGTGTTACTTGATCTTCGGATTTGATAAGTGTAACGATATTAATAATAATAATTTCACACAATTCACACACGACCCTCTGATCTCAAACTAGGCAGATCCTGGGCTATGGTAACCAGACTGCTGATAAAATTACTTAAATATTTCTAAATACATGCATATTATAGATAAATTACTACACAATTATTTGTCCTGGGTGGGAATCTAACCTACGTCCTCCGGCTTAGCAGTTAGGGTCACTAACCAACAAGTCCGTCCGTGGTCTTGTTTATTGCCTCCCGTTCGCTTTTCTAGAAAGAAGGTTTCCTCTCTTTCGGTTTCCGTTCCAAGTGAACAAGACTCAGTTGTCGCATTATGTTGGACGCCGAAGTAATCGCTTCGTCATGCCTTCGTCAGTTTAGTACCTGGAGGTTTCTAAACGAAAAATGTTGTCACACTCAATAATTGAGAACAATGTAGACAGTAACGAACCGAAGACATGAAATGCGTATTATCTTAAGTAATCGGTTATTTTATTTCAATCCTATTCAATCCTAAAGAATTTTAATAATATTTAGATGAGCATAAAAATATGTAAAGGTCTGTAGAGTCTAAACACTATAAAATTATCGATAAAATTTTATAAGTGTAACCGTGGCTATTGTCTGGCCACCTGTCTTAGAACGGGAGAAAGGAATAGATGAGGAGAACCGATAGGATGGAAGAGTCAATCCTGAACCGTGTTTTAGATGGCAAATAGGACTAAGACTTCAGTATAAGGAAAGAAATATCAACTGGACTATAATAGGAGGGGGAGGGGGAGTAAAGGAATAGACGGGTCACCTAGTGGTAAGTAGCTATCACTGCCCTTGGACACCTACAACTCTAGAGATAGAGAGTGCGTTTCTACAGCTTCTGTGCTCCAAAAATTACGGAGGAGGGGGACGGTTTAAGAATACAGAGTATGACTACCCCTGTTTATCCCGTGGGTGTCGTAAGAGTCGATTAGAAAGCATACTACGCAGGACAACAGCACTGCAAAGAGAAGTAAAACTTGAGGGGGGTTTTGAGCCTCACGTTCTAATTTCTCAATAAATATTCTATGTATTTGCGTTTATCCACCGAACTCGAATGATTAATGGAAATACACACAAAAACTGGCATCCCTATGGACAATGACATTCCCTGGCCTATCTCTAGACGATCTCAATCACGCCTGTACCAACACCCTGTGAAATCTAAGTGTGTTTACAGTTATTGCAAACCATTTTGAATCTTAGTATTACGGTTTAAGGATGTCGTTAACCGCTTATTTGATATTGTCTTTGTAGTATTTAACCATTTTGTGACACATTCGAGACAACATAAAATAATCCTTATTCTTGTTAAAATAAGGTTTTTATATGTTTTGCAAGTGCAAAATAAGGTTGTACAGTAAAAGCCCTCACGTTTCAAGCGTCGATGTTTCGTGTTGTAGGGATGTGTTTTAGGAGAATATAAAAGTTAAGGTTGTGATTGTGATGCTATGCCAGGAAGTCGTTTCTGTTCCTTTGGTTTTTCTTCGACAATAAACTTTTACTCGATAGTTGGTAGTCTATTCTCTAAAGCATATGGTAGATAATATAGGGAGCTAATATGTTAGCCGTTAGTAGAAGCTTGTCCTGTTGCTACTTATGCAAAGGCCCGGAAGATTTTTGTAATTTTTGAAACCTTCGAAATTAGCTTAATTACCAGACTTAAAGTGGTGTGAGTAGAAACTTCTAGAAAAATAAATAATAAGTTCATATTATTAAATCTGCGAGTATACCCCCCTAAGAACGATGGACAATAGATTTTTCAAATAATTCTTGTTTTGATACAGTTTTTATTGTGTCATTTTCTTAATAAAATTAAATTATACTGAACATTGTGTAAATTTTCTTAAAATTCACTCTTAAAATTATAAATTTATTAATTCTAAAAATAGAAATAAATCTTTTTGAGTATCCATAAAAGAAAATGGAAAAATAGAACGTCCTCCTTTTTTAAATTTTAAAAGTAATAAAATATCAGAAATGCCAGCAGCTGTATGGATGCACCGATCTATGCAATAGATATACGATACGGCTTATATTATCAGGATAAAAATTCGTAATTTAAATTTTAAAGCAACTTCACACGGCCACAATGTACGGTTGGAATTGTATCGCATTATGTGTGAA